TACTCCAGGTTGTGTACCCGTGTTGTCCAGGTTGTGTACCTGTGTTGTCCAGTGCGGTGGGCGTGGCGTCGTGTTGAACGGTCAGAACGTGGAACAGAGTCCAGAGAGAACAGGGGTAACCTCGGAGCCCCGCCCTGCTGCCCTGGCAACCAACCCAGCGAAGCTCTGCCCCCAGGAACACACCTGAGATCTGCACAGGTAACAGGGGGTCAGCTGTTGCTTAGTGTGTGTACGTGTGTGTGTGTGTGTGTGTGTGCGTGTGCGTGTGCGTGTGTCTGACCCTCATCTTGTTGTCCACCAGGTCCAGAACAGCCTGATAGGGGATTCGCTGCAGCGGCAGACTGATCAGCCAATCAGAGAGCGTCTCCATCAGCTTCCTCACTGAGCCTCCACCTGGATATAACTGCACAGGTAGAAACATCAGCTGCTGGAACCACATGACTCCATTTATCCAGCAGAAACTACAAACACAAACAATCCTCAGATTTCCAACCCTCCACATCTGATGGTGGAACATCTTTCTACATCTGATGGTGGAACATCTTTCTGCAGCTGATGAGCAGAGCAGAGAGGAGAAGTCTGGAGACATGGATATAGTTCAACGTCTGCAGGATGAGGAGACCACATTAGTTCTAGCGATGGACACTCGTTGTTCTGGTTCTGTAGAGCTGCAGGACTTTACACTGCAGTGAAACATGAACCACAGTCAAGAAAATGAAACAACAATAAATACTAAACGTTGATTTCCATCCATCATCTCTACACCTGGAGTCTATCCCAGCTGACTCAGGGTGACGACAGGTTCAGTCCATGGTAACTGATGCTGTGGAGCTAGATCTCCACGGTAACCGATGCTGCGGAGCTAGGTCTCCATGGTAACTGATGCTGTGGAGTTAGGTCTCCATGGTAACTGATGCTGACCTGGTCCAGGTCCTGCTCAGCGTCTCCCTTTAACTGGTTCCTGATGATGATGTTTTCTCTGTAAACCTGCTGATCTGGACGTTACTGAAACACTGAATGAAGCAGTTACAGCATCACACGCTGGAGGCATCCTGTTGCCATGGATCAGAACATTGATCATCTATTGGTATTTATGACAGAGAACATCCAATCAGGAGCATTGATTCACTCTGATTTGTTGTTATTAAAGTGATTTCCTGCCTCATGGGACAGAGTCAGACCTGAGTGAGCTTCAGTACGACATCAGGGTTAAACAGATGAGGTTTAAAGTTTAACAGCTTTAATGTGCAGCTGTCAGTGATCAATAATCAGCTGTCAGTATATGAACACGTTGAACACTTTCTACCAGCATTCCTGTCTCCACCGTTTACAGTAGCAGCATCATGGTGATGTTCCTCATTGTTCTCCATTAAAACAAGGAGCTGACTGAAGCAGCTGCTCGTCATCGATTCATTCAGGGC